ATAAGCTAAATAATGTCTCCCAAATCCTAAACTCTAGAATCTGTATGATAATTTATATGTAAAAGTTGTCATTACAGGTGTGGTTGATGTAAATTGAAATTTAGCCTGGATTATTCAGGTGGGCCCTTAATGTGATCACAAGTGTTCTTAGGCGAGACAAGCAGAGACTCCCCACAGTCAGAGAGGAGAGGGCAATGTGACCTCAGAAGCAGAGGCCAGTAATGTAGATAGACAAGACTGGCAGCCCAGAAGCTGGTAGAGGGAGAAACAGATTCTCAGACTCTAGCCCTGGCAATTCTGTGACTTTGGGCCTCTGGAACTGGAAAATAAATTTCTATTGTTTTAAACCAAAAAGTCTGTGGTGATTTTTAAGTCAGAAAACTAAGGCATCCATTAATTTAATATACAAGGGTTAAATATGAGTTATGGAAAGAGTTGTGAAAGATTGTAGCAAAGATTAAAACCAGGAAGTTTTCATTTGAGAGGTTTCAGGAACAGGCTGCCTTCCTATCCAAATTTCTTTTCTCCAGGTGCTTCTCCACTTCACCGTGGGTTTATACCCCAATGAACCAATCATAAACTGAAATTACCATAAGATGACAAGACTTTGACAGCATCTAAACTACTAAACATAACAGCAACACTGTCCACTGCAGATTGTCAGCTGTTTCCCATGTGATCATATGGCTGATGGGAGGAGTTACAGCTGCTGCCACAGTCCAGCCTCAGGATTCAGCATCAACATTACTTGCTGTGACAAAATACCTGAGGAAACAACTCATGGGAGGAAAATTTTATTTGGATTCATGGTTTCAACAACTTTAGTCCTTGGAAAATTTACTCCATTGCTATTGGCCTATAGTGAGGCAGAACATTAGGAAACAGATGCACGTGGCAGGCAGAGCTCAGTTGCTCATTTCAATGCAACCAGAAAGCAGAGCAAGATATACCCTCAGTGGAAAAGTCCCAGTGACCCACTTCCTTATCCAGCCCTCACTTCCCACCACCTCCAACACTGCCAGCAAATTATAAACCCATCAACAAATTGATGCACTGATTACGTTCCAGCCTTCACGATCAAACCACCCCTCAATAATTACAAATACCATCTAGGAAATAAGCCTTCAACACATTAACCTATACGGGGATAATTTATATGCAATCCATAATAAAATACTTAATTATCACAAGCCTGGGTAAAGATCAAAATTCAAAGTTCAAAGTACGGTATTGAATGAGCATCATTTCACACCATTGTAAAGCTGAAACACCTTCTTCAGTGGAACCTTCCTCAGTAAAGAACTGTCTGCATATTATGTGAAGGTAAACTTCCCCAGTACCAATGGGAAGCAGCCGGAAATGCTATCCTCCTGTGGATTTCCCACTCCACTCTACTGTCCAGCCCCTTCTCACTGAATCATAATCCCCCTATTTTCTTTTTTTTAAATATTTTTTATTATTTTTATTTTATGTGTATGCGTATATTGCCTGCATGTAGGTAAGTACACCCGTGTCCTGAAATGCCTGTGGAGGACAGAAGAGGCTGTCGGATTCCCTGGAACTGGAGTTACAGACAGTTGTTAGCTGCCATGTGGGTGCTGGGATTCAAACCCAGATCTTCTGCAAGAACAGCCAATGTTCTTAAATGCTGAGCCATCTCTCCAGCCTCATAATCCCCCTACTTTCTTCCCCCCCAACTCCTTACAATGCCTTCTTGTTTTGTTGGAAGTAATCTAGTCTTTCACAAAGCCCATGAATATGTTTGCAGAATTTCACTCCCAGGAGACCTTCTAGGACCTGCTACATTTAGAGGGGGCATGTAGTCTGAGAATGCCTGTTTAACCCCCACATCTTTGTCTCTTAGTCTTTAGACTAAGAGGCAAAATGAGAAAAGAGGCAAAGAGCTAAACCATCTCTAGTTCTGGTTATTCGAAAATCACAGGTAGACGCTTACACCTTGGAAATCATAGGACTATTTTATAATCTAAGAGGCAAACATTCATTTAATGTGCCCCATCCACAAACATTCCATTTGGTCATGAGGGCAGGGTGGAGAGCATCATAGGGCAGCTGGAAAGGTAGGTAAGACTAAGTTTTCCTCTTCCTTAAAAGTCCAGGGTTTGAGTGGCACTCACAGCATCAACTTTGCAACCAATTTGTTCATAAATAGAGAACCTAGCTTCTGTCACAGCTCCTCTGTAGAATGGGAATGAATGTATCCACCTCCTCAGATGCTGAACACATGGCATGAGCCAATACACATAAAGCATTGAGATCAGAGAGAAGAACAAAATAACCTGTCTGAGCTATTGATTAATGCCAATCAGGCCCAAAGCCTTCTATGCCTTCATTGCACTGTGTGGCCGCTTTCCTCCCATTAACCTATGGTGATTTTATATATTAATTCATGAAGTATCAATTTAATATCCATCTCTTCCTCTACTGTAAATTTCATGAATTAGAAATCAAGTCTGGTTTTGCTCTTCCTTATATTAAATTTGGCAAACACTGAAATATTTGCTCACAAGTAAAGCAAGCCAGTAAAGCAAACCAGTCACATCGGTAGATCCAAGTCTGTAGTTTCAGACATCTTCAGAATTGGGGTGGATGTCTTTTAATTACCATAATTTTTCTCCAACCTCATCAAGTAATGTAATTGCTTGGGTGGCTTTCAAGTATCCTCATGCTTAGGCTCCAGGGATTCTAATTTTACTGGTATGGCCTCAGCCTAGTCCACTTGGACCCTCATATCCATGGGGTCTTCAAACTTGGATTTGATCAACTGCAGATCAAAAATAGTTGAAATAAAATGTCTGAGCATTTCTCCTAAGCAATTGCCATTGCCATTATTTCCTAAGCAATATAGTATAATTATTTACCTGACAGTTGATTGAATCAAGTTTATAAGTGATCTAAAGATTATTGAAAGTATACAGGAGATATATAAGAGGTCCTAAGCAAACACTGTACCATTTTATACAAGACTTGAGCATCTCTGAGTTTTGGTATCCATTTTTTAAAAAACGTTATGTGTATATGGGGGGCAGGCATTGCACATGAGTGCAATATACCCACAGATGCCAGAAGATGGCATCAGATCCCTTGGAGTTGGAGTTAAGGTGGTTGTGAGATGCCCTATCTGGGTTCTGGGAACTATGCAGCACATTCTTAACCATTGAGCCATCTCTCCAGATCAGATTTTGTCATCTTAAGAGGAGTCCTGGAACCAGTCCTCCATGAATACTGAGAGATAAGTGCCTTCTAATCTGAAAGTTGGCTTGGAAAAATTTCAGCATTGTTCCAAAGGGCTTCAGTTCAGCCCTGCACTTCTAATCAAAAACAAAGAGTCTCTGCTTGTCCAACATTAATCAGGAACCTTCTCCTAGGCCCATCTGAATAAGCTTTGATTACATCCAAGATTTTGGGAAGCATGCTGCTATGTCAGTTTAGCCACATTCTTCTCAATACCCTGATCATTCTCAATATCTGGTCAGTTTCTTCATCCTCCACACCCCACTTCCACCCCAAGTCTAGATCACACCAGCCTGCCTTCAGGAAGGATCCTCTTAGGTGAGGTGGATTTTGCCTGAATCAGTCTTACCCCTAATGTCCCTTAGTAATTCTGCACTCACTGATCCCTACATTACTCAAGGAACACATTCTCAGTTGCTCAGGTTGTTTAGGATTGAGCCCAATCTCTCAGGAACCCCTACAACTTCCCTCCAGAGTCCTGGGCTAAGTCTTCCTTAACAATTAACAATCACCATTTAATGCCTTTGGTTGAATTCTCCTTCCCTATTTAGATAATGGATAGGAGATTGGAAGTTGCAGCTTTCTGATGGAATCTTGGCTGATGGAACCAACGAGTTAGGGTTCATGCTGTTCAGACTATTGTAATGCTGGCAGCAAACCAGTTGAGTGACTCCAGACCCACACACTGCCAAACTGGCCTCATTTGGGACGCTTTCACCCCAAGAACAGGAGTGCATGACAGGAGTGCATGAGGTCATGAACGCCTTGCCTTGCCTTGCCTTGCCTTGCCTTTCCTTTCCTTCTTTCCTTTCCTTTCCTTTCCTTTCCTTTCCTTTCCTTCTTTTTTTTTTTTTTTTTTAAGGCGTTTATGTATTTTTAAAGGCATCACAGACTCCCTTAGTGTGAAGAAAGTGGTCATGATGGCCTTAAAGGCTGAAGTCTGCAACCCATTCCCTCTGGGAGTTGCTTCCAAGACCGAAGTCTGTTTCCTTCCTCCCGGTCCCTTGCTCCCCATATGGCAACCTCTGACCTTTCTAAGATCTCTTTATTATCCTTCTTGAGCCATCCCATAGAGTTCCCAGGAGTGAAACCTAGACGCAGGAATCCACCTGCTGGAGATCAGGGACTGGAGAAGCTCTCCTGCCTCTAAAGGCCAGTCCTTGCGCCCACAGCCCTCTTAGCCCCACCACCCGCTCTCCACCGAGCCACCACCACGCGGGGGGCGGCGCGTCTGCGTCATCCCCTCCAGTATTGGGGAGCGAAAGGGCAGGAGTCTACAACCCCCGGTCTCAAGAAGCCGCTACCGGGGGGTGGGGTGGGGTGGGGTGGG